CCTCATTACTTCTAGAGGGGGGATAAGCTATGCCTTGCTCCGCCTTCCCTTCTAAACTTGGACCATTTAATTCTGATTTGCTGTACCTATTTGATTTGTTCCATTCAACAGAATATTTACAATTTTTTTATACTGAATTATCACTTTTGTATAGTTCACCCACCTTCCCCCACCCCCCGCCCCCTCAGGTCAAGGCCGTAGCCAAGCCACTGGCTCTTCTTTTGTAGAAATAGAAAGTTAATTTGTATGAAGGTTTTTGCAATAAATTAACCTGCATGTTCCACATTCGCATACACCGTTACCGCTACACTGCCGTCCATCGGTTCCATTAGGGCACGATGAATGATCGCACTGACAGAATCGACCGCTGACCTATAAGAACGGTGATTAGAGCCTAGAAGGTCGTTGTAGCACCGAATTCCCCTCCCCCCGCGATAACGTCAATAAGATAAAATCAACGAAAAGATCCTAGAGCTTATAATGAAGCTGGGCAGTAGGACATGCAGAGGAAAATTTGTAAAGATTCGGCTCTGTAGAAGGGTTTCAGGCCGCGTCAAGTCTTCGCAAAGACAAGCGTCGACGCGCTACAAAATTTCAAACAAACCCAGTTATATGAAAAAAACGAAAAAAAACGCGGATTTTTCGCTTTCTTTCGAACAATTAGGGCGGGCATTGTTTTTGCAATCACTCTCCAATGCTACACAGGGCACATCATTAGTCGGGGAATATGGTCGAGTCCGACGAACCCTCTCCCTCTATTAGAAGGTTGGTACGACTTTCCCTTTTCTCATCCTACCCTTTCTCAGATTTCCCCAGCTCCCTACCAGTTTTTCCGGAACCCCCAAGAACTTTCCTACTTTCACCCAAAAATGTTGCTGTCGAGCGGTTGAGCGGAGGGGGGGGGTGGTAAACGGTGAATAGTGCACGAGGCAAAACCCAAGATTAGTCAGCTCAGCACCTCTCTCAGAAGGTCAGAGGGCTAGATAACTCCCTTCTCCTCAGTAACGAGCAACGATCCCCCGTTTGC